TGGTCTTCCTATTCGTTGATTTCTAATTTTATAGCATTGGTAGTCTGGGAAGATGCTTTGTAGTATTTTTGTTTTGTTTTTTAAATGTTTTATTGTGAATTATGTGATAATTTACATAGAACATTAGCTTTACATTCATCCTATCGTATATTGTTTCATTGCCATGGTTACAATCCCCGCCATGCATCATCAAACAACCAAAGAGTATACCCTGCAAGCCTGCCCCTCTTCCTCTCTGGGTCTAGAGTCCCCAGCTGTTCCATCTCTCCATGTCATCGTCTCTGCCTCCATCTCTGGCATCACTGCTTCTCTGGGTAGGGTCCTGCTCGCCTCTCTTCTCCCTTGATGGTCCCAGGGATCTCTGCTCCTGGACTGAAAAATCAACCACTCCCCTCCTTTTGCTACAAACATCTACCTTTACATTTCCAACCCTCACAGTCAGTCCTGACAACAATTATTCACTATTGTACCACAAAAGTCCTATCCACATCTCCTTTCATCAGCCCCAGCTAGACAGATTGGATACTACTCAATGGAGAGTCTACCTTCCTCCGCGCCCTCTGGATCTAGGCTCCCTCTTGAAAGCTTGTAAGCCAGTCACTTCTTGCCTTTGTAGCCCCCCCATTTTGGGTAGCCAGTGTCCAAGTTGCCCATCCCTGTCTATTCTGTGTATGGAGGGGATGGGAATGATCCTCACTGTTCATAAAGAATAGTTCCCTCTTTTGAGTAACTGCATCCATAGGTGTAGGCCAAACTCGAGAAATTGTCTCGGATTACTCTTTTTTCCCACATCTTTCTTCTTCTAGTTGAGCTCTGATCAGTCATTGAAGCCAGGTCAAGTGGGTATTATCGGCAAGTGTGGGTGTTCTTGTGCATATGCCCTCTCTTCTTATCAGCTGGAAGCTTCACTCTCCACTCTAGCCCTCTGTGGCTATGTCACTGACTCTGGACCCAAAAGTCCCCAGGTCTTGTCACACTGCTGGCCAACCAGTTCTCCGTCCGGGTTCACAGGAGTCTACTGAATGTTGTAGAGCTTAGCTCACCGCTTCATTGCTGTTTTTCCCTCACTTCCCCTTATCAATGATGAATATGGTCACCAGTCAGAGCACATGTCTGCTCGTGTATTCCCATTGAGTCTTGTCTTGGAAGGGGGTTTGCCCAGAGGGGACCTGATCACTTGCCTTGATGTCACCTGAGTGAGCAACTTGCTTGTTCTTGTAGTAATCAGTCGGACTGCCATTATTGTTTTGTATTTTTCCTATTGGTCTTTCTTTCAAGAAGTATCTTCTGATCTTGTAGCTGCTCCAGGCTGGTCTGCTTGTCCTTTCAAGTGAAAATTTCCCATCCCAGAAGATTCTGGATGCAGTTCAGGATTCCACCTATGGTCTTATGTAATGCAGAGGCTCTGCAGGAAGCCTCCTTCACTGGGCACGTTGTAGCCCCATTTTAGATATTCCAATCAGTTATAGGCAGAAGACGGACTTACAAGCTTTCTATGGCGATATTTCTGGCTATTCCTTTCTCTCCCCCTCAAGTGTCTATTTTATAATGCTTCGTAGTATTTTGATATTTGTAAATTTATGGAGGCTTGTTTTGTGGCCTAAGACATGGTCTATTTTGGAGATGTTCCATGTACACTGGAAAAGAATGTGTATTGTGCTGGTGTTGAGTTGAAAGTCCTCTGTGAACTTGTGATTGGTGCTTACATTTGAATAATAGCGGTATTAAATGGAATTCCTTGTAGGTGTATGGAGAATCGGATTCCAAGATGGCGCACTTAGGTGACTCTTTGCTGGCAGCCTCAGTTTCATGAACTTTTTGAAGCCCCTTATGTCAGTTGGGGTAGTCAGCTCGTAGCTGAATTATATGATCGTTTACGTGGGAGAACATCAGTTTTACATTCATCCTATTGTATTTCGTTTCATTGCCATGGTTACAATCCCCTCCATGCATCATCAACCAACCAAAGGGTATACCCTGCAAGCCTGCCCACTACTCTCCATCCTCCATGCACCGCCCCCCCACCAGTCTTCAGCACACAGTAGCTCTCCCTCTCTGGATCTAAAGTCCCCAGCTGCTCCATCGCTCCACGTCATCGTCTCTGCCTCCATCTCAGGCATCACTGCTTCTCTGGGTAGGGTCCCGCTCTCGGCTCTTCTCCATTGATGGTCCTAGGGACCTCTGCTCCTAGACTGGAAAGTTAATCACTCCCTTCCTTGCTATAAAATGTCTACCTTTACATTTCCAACCCTCACAATCAGTCCTGATAACAATTATTCACTATTGTATCTCAAGAGACCCATCTGCATTTCATTTCATCAGCTCCGCCTAGACAGATTGGATACTACTCACTGGAGAGTCTGCCTTCTTCCAGGCCCCCTGGCTCTAGATTCCCTCTTGACAGCTTGTAAGCCAGTCACTTCTTGCCTTTGTAGTCCCCCCCACCCCATTTTGGGTAGCCAATGTCCAAGTTGCCCATCCCTGTTTACTCTGTGTGTGGAGGGGGTGGGAATGATTCTTGCTGTAAGGATTTGTTCCCTCTTTTGAGCTACTGCATCCATAGGTGTAGGTCAAATTCATCAAATTGTATCAGATTACTCTTTTTTTCCTCTTCTTTCTTCTTCTGGTTGAGCTCTGATCATCCAGTCATTGAAGCCAGGTCAAGTGGGTATTATCTGCAAGTGAGGGCGTTCTTGTGCATATTGAAATGTTCTTTTTTATGATGAATTAGATGCCATTTGTCTTCAATCTGTTGGTCTGGCATAGTAAACCTTATGATTCTATGATTCAAAATGGCCAATACCAGTCCATTTCAGCTCACTAATGCCTAGGACATTGAACTTCATGTGTTCCATTTCATTTTTGACAACTTCCAACTATCCTAGGTTCATACTTTGTACATTCCACATTCCAGTTATTAATACTTATTTGCAGCTGTTTCTCCTCATTTTGAGTTGTGCTCTATCAGCAAATGAAAGTCCCCAAATCTTTGCTCCATTCATGTCATTATGGTCAACTCTCCTTTAAGGAGGCAGCTCTTCCCAGTCATATTTTGAGTGCCTTCCACCCTGAGGGGTTCATCTCTGCCACTCTAGCTGACAATGCGTCACTGCTCTTCAGAGGATTTTCAGTGGCTAACCATTCAGAAGTGGACCACCTCTCCTTCTTCTTAGTCTGTCTTAGTCTGGAAACTCTGCTGAAACCTATCCACCGTGGGTAACCCTGCTGGTATTTAAAATACTGGTGGCATAGCTTTTAGCATCACAGTTACATGCAAGACACTATAATATGACAAACCAAGAAGCTGCATCAAAAATAACTGATTGATATTTCACAACTTTAAGAGTTGTGACCAAGAACCAGTGTTACTGAAGGAAGAAGTTCAAACTGCACTGAAGTCATTGATGAAAAAAGGCCTCCAGAAATTGACAAACTACAAATCGAAATGTTTCAACAAACTGGGGCAGCACTGGAGGCACTCACTAGTAATCTATGCCGAGAAATTTGGAAGCTTTCCCACCAACTGATTGGAAGAGATCCAAATTTGTGCCCATTCCAAAGAAAGATGATCCAATGGAATGTGGAAATTATCAAGTATCATTAATATCACAAGCAAGTAAAATTTTGCTGAGGATAACTCAAAAAGGATTGCAGCAGTACATGGTCAGAAAGCTGCCAGAAATTCACCGGATTCAGAAGATCATTAAAAAATGGTTGTAGCAGTTTATCTACAGGGAAACGCCCAAAATGCAAGCTGGATTCAAAAGAGGACATGGGATATCATTGCTAATGTAAGATGGATCTTAGCTGAAAGCAGAGAATATCAGAAAGATGATTACATATGTTTTATTGACTATGTGTGGGTCATAACAAATTATGGGTAGCATTGTGAAGAATTGGATTCCAGAACACTTCAGACCACTTGTGGTATTTCTGTTATGGTAGCACTCTGGTAGCGTAGTGGTTACGAGTCGGGCTGCCAACCTCAAGGTCAGCAGTTCGAAACTACCAGCTGTTCAGCGGGAGAAAGATAAGGCAGAACGTTCTGCTCCCGTAAAGATTTACAGCCTCGGAAACCCTGTGCAGGGTCTCCATGCGTCAGAATCGACTCCATGGCACTAACAACAAGACAAAGGCAGATGGGTCTGATTCTCAGAGTCAGTAGGTGTGTGAGTGTTTTCCACGGGACCAGCCCCAGGTTTGGCTGTGGATGCCACATGGGAATCTTGAGCCAGAAAATTCTCAAAAGCCTTTAAGCATGCTTTGTTGTTGGAATCATTGGTGGGGGGTGGAGGGAGCTCCTACTCGGAAAAGGACAACAGTCATGGTTTGGGAATTTTGCGGGGTAAGAGGATGGAGAAGTTAGGGTGGAGCTGTGCTAAATTGTCCACACCCCCATACTGAGACCTTAAAGAAGGTGCAGGGGTCGGGAGCGCTGTAAGTAAGTAAGATTCAGCAACCCTGTCTCCCTTAATCCACACTACATACTGAACCAGTCAATGCGCCAGAAACATCAGTTTGGGGATCGTTTCCCTGCTGCTTCCTGTTGCCCAGTTCCGACCCAATCTCAGGTGGAACCTTGGGGGTCCTCTTCGAACTCTTCTTCCCTGCACCCCCATCTGCCACCTGTCGAGGGCATCAGAGGCCCCTCAAGTCTCATACCCTGGTTTGGGCATAGGCTGAGCGTTGTCCTCACCCAGGCTGCCTCCGCCGACAGCCTGATTTCCCGACTTCTCACCTGACAAACGCTGCTCATCGGTTCAGGCCTCCAGACGCCGGCCAGGACCGGCAGAGTCGGGCTGGGACTCGAGGGCGGGGCGTAGCCCTCCGAGGGGCCGGGCTCGGGGCGGAGCCACGCGTGTCTACTTGGGAGCGGCCGGAGCAATATTAAGTAAGGCTTGGGCCAGGCTTTCAAAGGGGCGGGGCTGAACTTCTGCAGCTACCGGACAATTTCAGCCCAGAGCACAGCCGGCTACAGGGGCGGGGCCGGGCTCTAATAGGGGCGTGGTCAGATTGTGGGGGCGGAGCCGGAGCGTCGGCAGGGCGGGGCGGCTCCTGGAGGGGCGGGGTCTAGGCGGGGCAGACCGGAAAAGTTCCGGGAAATCCCGCGGCCCACCGCCCGGACGGCGCGGAAGTTCCCGGCGGTGGTGCTCCGGCCGGCCGGCTGGCTCGGCGCTATGTGGTCGGGGGGCGCGGAGGCGGAGACAAGGACCCCAGGCGCGGCCTCGGCGCTCTGCAGTCTGTACCACGAGGCGGCACAGCAGATGAGGCGCCTGCAGGACCAGCTGGCCGCCCGCGACGCCCTCATCGCGCGTCTCCGCGCCCGTCTGTCCGCGCAGGAGGCGAACGCCGCGCCGTCACTCGTGGACTCGCTGCTGGAGCAGGTGGCACATTGCCGGGAGCAGCTCCGGGAGCAGGAGGGCAGCGCGGGCGAGGAAGTGGCCGCGCTACGCCAGGTGAGGGGCAGGGGCAGTGTGGGGTGAGGGCGGGGTCCGGAGTGACGGGCAGGGCTTGGGATGTGGGGGTCGGGGTGGGGTGGCTGGGATGAGGGGCAGGGGCCTGGTGAAGGGCGGGGCTTGGGACGTGGGGCGCGAATCTGGGGTCACAGGCAGGGCCTGGGTGAGAGGGCGGGGTCTGGGACGTGTAGGTGGGACCTGAGTGAGGGAGCAGGGGCGGGGTCTGGAGTGAAGGATGGGGGCTAAGAGACTGGCCTGGGGAGCGGGGCTCAGGTCAGGGGCGGGGTCTGAGGTGAGGGGCAGAGTCTGGGGCGAAGGACAGGCCTGGGAATCAGGGGAGGGGTCTGAAAGTGGGGGATCTGGCATGAGGGGCGGGGTCTGGAATGTGGGAGTGGGCCCTTTCATCAGAGCTTCCAAATGCAGACAGTGCAGAACTGGACAACATTTCGTCCTGCTATGCATGAACTCCCCCGCGTCAGAGTCTTCGCTTGTATTGCCTGGACTGATATGAGTATCAATATGTCATGAATTCCTGGTTTTCCCTATGACGTCTAGTTTTTTAAAACCTTGTTATTGTGAATTGAGTGAAGGTTTACAGAACACATCATCAGTCTCACATTCAACCAATCAGACACCTCGTGTTATTACAATGATTGCAAGCCCTTCCGCGTACCATCCGTTAACAGTATTTACCTCTGCATTTATCTCGGTTCACTTTAACGCTTGCACTCTTGTGTTTTCCACTACCTTCATCTTCCCTGTACCACCCTCCCTCTTGCATATTGCCTTTCGCATCACCCAAGTCAACATCTACCCTTTACCCCCTGAATAAATTTTCCCGTCCCTCCCACCCCTGGTAACCATCATAGAATGTTTCTTTTAGCAAGGATGTTTCTTTTCTTACTTATTATAACTGGTCTCATACCATATTTGTCCTGCAAGGTTGGCAGTTCACACTCACCAGCGACTCCTAAGAAACCCCTATGCAGGGTCACTATGAGTCAGAACCAACTTCACGACACTTAACAAGAACAGTAATTTCATTCAGCATACTGTCCTCCAGGTTCATTTATGTTATGAAATATTTCACAAAGTCATCATTTATACTAAGTGCTTCATAGTATTCCATTGTGTCTTTGTAACCAAAGTCTGTTTAACCTTTCTTCGGTTGATGGGCACTTAGGCTGTCTCCATCTTTTTTGTGGTTGTCAATAGTGCTGCAGTGAACACGGGTATGCATGTGTGTATTTGTGTCATGGCTGAGGACATATATCAAGTAGAGGGATTTCTGAGCCAGATGGTATTTCTGTTTTCAACATTTTGAGGAAGTGCCATACTGGTTTTCACAGTGGTTACACCATTTCACAGTTCCATCAGCAGTGTAGGGGGTGTCCAGTCTCCCCACACCCTCTCACCAGCATTTGGTTTTTTGAAGTTGGTTATCAATGTTGGCGTTAGATAGCTCAGTGTTACTTGGATTTGCATCTCTCCAATGGCTAATGTCTTGAGCATTTCTTCATAGTGAAGTGTCTGCTCCTGCCTCTGCCTATTTTTTAATTGGATTATTTGTCTTCTTATTGAAGTAGTCCCTTGTCCAATATGTCATTGCCAAAATTTTTTCCCCAGTCGGTGTGTTCTCTTTTGACTCCTTTGGTGAAATCTTTTGATGCACATAAGTGTCTAATTTTTAGGAGGTTCCAGTTACCTATGTTGTCTTCTGTTGTCTATGTGCTCAGTTATATTTGATAGTGTATTTATGTCATGTGCCAGAGCCCCTAAGTCTGTCCCTGTTTTTTCATTGATGATCTTTGTAGTTCAGGATTTCATGTTTATGTCTTTAATCCACATTAAGTTCATTTTTTTTTAATATGGTGTGACATACGAGTCTGGTTTCATTCTTCTGCAAATGAATTTCCAGTTTTATCAGCACCTCTTGTTGAAGAGATGACCTCTCCCCTGTTTAATGTGTTTTGGCCCTTTGTTGAAGATCAGTTGACTGTGTGTGGATGGATTTTCTCTGGGCTCTCAATTCTGTTCCATTGATCTCTGTATCTTTTGTTGTACCAGTACCAGGCTGTTTTTACTACTGTGGCTGTAGGTTTTGAGATGGGGAAGTGAGAGGCCATCTACTTTTTTCATATTTTTAAATAAAGCTTTGTTTATCCTGGGTCTTTTTCCTTTTCATATGAAGTTAGTGATTAGTTTTTCCATCTCTTTAAAGAATGATGTTGGATCTAGGTTGGTATTAGAAAAACAATCATGAAAATATTAAAAGAAGGCCTGAGATTTATGGGGACACCATGAAGAGGAATAATTTACAGGTGATCGGAATTCCAGAACAGGAAGACACAATAAAAAGCATAGAGAAAATTGCCCAAGAGTTACTAGAAGAAAACTTCCTAATAACATCATGAGAGATGAAAAGAAAAACATTCAATAAGGTGAACAAACGCCAAACAGGATAGACTCCACCCCCCCCCAAAAAAAAAGAAAATCACCCAGGTGTATCCTAATCAAATTTTCCAAAACAATAAAAACAAGGAAAGAATCCTGAGAGCAGCTCAGGAAAAAAACCGAAAAGTTACCTATAAAGGAGAACCAATAAGACCAAGCTCTGATTTCTCAGCAGAAACTATGCAGGCAAGAAGGCAATGGGATGATCTATACAAAACTCTGAAAGACAAAGATTACCAAGCAAGAATCTCATACAAATACAACACCACCACAATGTCTCGGAGACAACAGACGGTTACAGCTCACACGAAGGAACAAGGGAGAATGGCTCAAACAAATGACCAAGTAGCAGAGCAGAAAAGATTTTCGAAGAAGAAAAGATAATAGTACTGCCTGAGAAAGAATTCCAAAGAATGATATGTAGGCACCTTCAACAGATTGACCGAAAGCCCAAGGAAAGCAAGAAGAGAGAAAAAAAAAATTTAGAAGAATTTGGGAAAGCACTACAAGAGCAAACAGACAAAATAAATGTGAATTTTGAAACAATACTAACCCTACAAATAAGTATCCAAAAGGCTAACCCTAACATTTCAGAAATGGGTACAACATTGAAAGGGCAAAGGAGTAGACTGAAAGCAATGGAAGCCTGTATTAGTGAGTTTGAAGATAAATCTCTCCATGTCTGTGGTGTGTATACCGTCCCGTGTACAGATACATCCCACATGTCTGTGGTGTGTACACCTTCATGTGTGCAGACATAGCATCCATGTCTGTGGTGTGTACGCTGTCATGTGTACAGATATATCCATTCATGTCTATGTGGTGTATATACTGTCACTTGTACAGACATATCATCCATGTTTATGGTGTGTATACCACCACGCATACAGATGTATGATCCATGTCTGTGGTGTGTATACCGTTATGTGTGCCGACATAGCATCCATGTCTGTGATGAGTATACCGTCACTTGTACAGACATAACATCCATGTCTGTGGTATGTATACCACCATGCATACAAAGATATCATCCTTGTCTGTGGTGTGTATGCCATCATGTATGCAGACATATCCACCCATGTCTGTGGTGTGTATACCATCACATGTGCACATATATCATCCATGTCTGTGGTATGTGTACCATCATGTGTACAGATCTATCCATCCATGTCAGTAGTATGTATGCCATCACGTGTACAGATATATCACCCATTTCTGTGGTGTGTATACTGTCACATGTGCAGATATATCATCCATGTCTGTGGTGTGTATACTGTCACATGTGCAGATATATCATCCATGTCTGTGGTGTGTATACCATCATGTGTGCAGATATATCATCCATGTCTGTGGTATATATCTACATCCTGGACGAGAAGATGGTGGAGACAGACATGTCTTTGCCACACTCTGAACACTGCTGCAGCTCTGATTGGGGGGATTTTAGGATGGAATATAAATGTCCCCTGTGGAAGGTGACCTTGTTCTGTGTGCACCACATGCAGAGCTGTTGGGGGTTTCCTTTCTGAGGAGCAGAGCCAGTGGGGGTGGGGTGAGGTCTGAGACCCTCTTAGGGGGCAGCTGTTGTCCTCAAGGTGACAGATAGGACAAGGGCCCAGGTCAGCTCATAACACCTGTAGAAAGTGGTCTGCTTGTCAGAGGAAACATAAATTCAAGGTCATGGGCTAGGTGGGTGTCTGGCTGAGCACATGGACACAGCTGTGAGGATGAAATCCCAGTGGGCCTCCAGACTCTTCCTGTTGGTCAGTGTTTGGTGGCCAGGGGGCTGGAGTTGCCGAGGGACTCGCCCTACTGGACTCTTCGGACCATCGAATGCATGCGGTGTTCAAGGTTTGGGGCTGGCCGAGCCTGGCCCCCCTGCGGCTCTTCCTAGGACCTACCAGTGTAAAGCTTAAAGCAGTGGTTCACCTGACCCCAAAATCTGAGACCCCAAAGCCACAGAACAGCATGAAGGCCGTGGCTGAGGTGCCCAGCGCCTTTGGGTGCAATCCCTGTTCTGGCTAGCCTCCCAGGGGCAGGGTCTCATGTTAACACTGTGTCCCCCCTGCTACCACCATTCTGTTGTATGAATCTGGGCACACCCACTCTTGCCCTTCCAGTCCACACGGAGCAGGGTGGGGGGAAGTGGCTCTAGAACCACCTTCTCCCCCAGGCCAGAGAATGGTCATACTGGACCTTCTCTGCTTTCCTTTCTTTCTGTCTTGAAGCACAAGAATGGTGGGGAGGGGGGACCACAGACCCGTGTCCTTAGTACAGCTGTGTTCCTGGTGGCACGTGCCACAGTAGCCAAAGGGTGGACCCTACCAAACGTTCACCAGCATGTGACGGAATAAACAAAATCCGGTGGTGGAAACAGACTGTGTGATGGTGGTGGTGGCAGCTGTGTGTCATCAAGTCGGGTCTGATTCACAGTGACCCTGTGTAGGGTTTCCCAGGCTGTGAAGCTTTGTGGGAGCAGAAAGCCCCGTCTCTCATTACTCAGCTGTAAGGAGACATGCCCTGAAACACACGACATACCACGTGGGGTGAAATAAAATTGGGCACGGAAGGACACAGTATATGGGACATCTAGAATTGGCAAGTGTATGGAGACTGGACCCCCGGGTGACACAAATCCTTGCTTGCTCGAGTACTAGCCAAAAGGTTGAACTCACCGAGGTGCCTCAGAAGAAATTCCTAGTGACCTGCTTCCAAAATGTCAGAGTCTTGAAAACCCTATGGAGCAGTCCTGCCCTGACACCCATGGGGTCACCATGAATCCAGGTCCCACTGACCTGGTTTGAAAATAGCTAACAGTGACACCGAGTCCTGGCGTGGCGCTGGACTGCAAAGCCATTTCAAACTCAAAGTTGGCGGTTCAAGCTCACCATCTGCTCCTTGGAAACCCTATACGACAGGGTCACTATGGGTCAGAACCACCTCAATGGCACTTAACAACAACAACAATGACATCAGAGTCCTGGTGTGGTGCTGTAGGATAGGCACTGGACTGTGAACCACAAGATGGCTGGTTCAAATCCTGAGAGCCCTGTACAGGGTCGTTATGACTCAGAACCTACTCAACAGCACTTAACAGCAATGGTGACATCAGACCAGGGGCGGGAGGACAGAGGAAGGGGACTGTATAAGGGATGTGGCTTTCTATTTAAGGAGCCTGGTGGCACAGTGGGTTAGGCAATGGGCTGTTCAGTGAAAGTGTTTGAGCCCACCAGCTGCTCTGTGGGGAAAGGTGAGGCAATCCGCTTCCTACAGATTTGCAGCCTCGGAAACTCTGTGGGGCCCTTTCACTCTGTCTCCCTGCAGTGGGTACGGTTTGGGGTTTGGGTGTCTGTTTATGGTGATGAAGAACTTGGCTGCTACAGAATAATACACTGGACTGCAAAGTCAGTTTGAATCACATTGACGTAGTTGGTGTTGCTCCGTTGTTCACGTGAAAAACGTTAAATTGACAGACGTCAGGTTGTATTTTTATAGCCTTAAAAAAAAAACGATGTCCTGACAAACCCCCTTCCAAGACTAAGACTTAATGGGAATACACACTGATTGATGACCATGCTCGTCAGTGATAAGGGGAAGTGAGGGAAAAACAGCAATGAAGCTGCGAGCTAAGCTCTACAACGTTCAATAGACTCCTGTGAACCCGGACGGAGAACTGGTTGGCCAGCAGTGTGGCAAGACCTGGGGGCTCTTGGGCCCAGAGTCAGTGACATAGTCACAGAGGACTGGAGTGGAGAGTGAAGCATCCAGTTGATAAGAAGAGAGGGTATATGCATAAGAACACCCACACTTGCAGATAATACCCACTTGTCCTGGCTTCAATGACTGGATCATCAGAGCTCAACTAGAAGAAGAAAGAAAAGGAAAAAAAAAGAGTAATCTGATACAATTTGGTGAACTTGACCTACACCTATGGATACAGTAGCTCAAAAGAGGAAACAAATCCTTACAGCGAGGATCATTCCCACCCCCTCCATACACAGAGTAGACAGGGATGGGCAACTTGGACATTGGCTACCCAAAA